TGATCGGTTCGTTTGATTGATCACAGCTCCTATTGGGTTATCTGCCACCAGATCGTGCGCTCTGGACGTCTGAGTTGGCTAAAAAGAGGTCTCAATACAAGCATTTCAAAGAAGAGCTTTTGATGAATCCCGTAAGTCATATTGTGGAACTTTTACTCTCCATTTTGGTCTCTAACATTTTGTAGAGGGATTCATTTAGTTGTCCGTGGTTTAGGGGCTGATCACTTAGCTTTGAGGACAGAAAGGTCTTGTCGACCAATTGGAAATGAAAATGAAAGAATTGCATCCAATTTTCTTCATTTCCTCTCCCAAAATTGGATTTCTAGATTGATAGTGACAATTTCTTAATCAAGAATTTATTCTCGTTGTCTTAATTTTGTGACCTCTTTTTCCTTTTTATCTACTTTATTGTGGGTCCTCACCAATTTAGAAAGTATTCAATTCTGTATAGTGGTACATCATATGGCATTTCTCTTTTCCTTTCACAAAATACACACATTATCAGTTGGTTTATTCATATTCTAATTAATCGACATGATTCTTCTTCAAATTTGTTACCATATGGTAAACGAAGCAAAAAATGATATGCTGCAACCAGTACTGTCTGTTTGTATGTACAAACATAGTATTCTTACTGTTTTTGTGGCTAGTCAGTCAGAAATTTCAAGGAGGTTGGAGAAAGCGAAAAGTTACGAGCATGATGAAACGAACAGAGGTCCACTCTCAAGGTCAGAAATAAGTCAAGAGGAACATCCTTTGAGTCTTGGGAAAACCAGCATTTGGAATCAGTACTTCCAGGTATCCTTTATTATTAAACTTGTGGATACAATTTTATCCCCAGTTCTAATCTTAAGAAATCGATTATAATAATGTACTCGTAGCAAAAGTGTTTATATAAAATTACTGGGCCTCTCTGTATTGAACTCTTCATCTAAATAATTCTGTAAACTGTAACCTTCTGTCAATCAGAATCCTTCAAGTGTACGATGAAATTTTCATTCACATGTATGATGAACTTTGGGCTGAAGTAGTTGTGTTGATTCCAACCCTAAACTAAATAACTAAATCTTTTCTTCTTCTCTTAGAGGATGGAATGGTGTTTGTTGATTTTAGAATAATCATGCCATAATGAAAAATTTTGATTCTTCAGATGAACTTGAGTATTTCATTTATATGATCATCATCTATGAGTTTTCTTCTAGGGATTATTTCATGAGAAATATTATTAATTGGGAAAAATCAAGCTCATGAAGAGGTCAACTGTTTATGCAACTGGACCCTTATAAGTTTACATGGAATTGAAGAAGGAACTCAAGACTAGAGAATTCAATTTGGAAAACATGTTTTGGTGTTGATAAGTTTGTAGTACTTATTTGATGACCTGCTTTTTCTGAACCTTGGCCATGATACAAATCATCAAACATCTTCTTGTTATGGAAAAATATGCTTATACTTGATTTTACGAACGTCGTGCTCTCACCAAATTTCTATATTTACTTCAATAATATATCAGTCATAACCTGTCTCTGTGTTTCATTCGTATTTTTTCTGTTTGCGCTGTTTTACATTGATAAAACAGTATGAACATGTGTTATTACGTTATTCTAGTCTAATTTATCACATACATGTTAGGACTCTGAGATTATAGAACAGATTGACCGAGATGTGATGCGCACTCATCCAGATATGCACTTCTTCTCTGGGGACTCATCACTTGCAAAATCTAATCAGGCCAGTCTTTGATTATGGCATAAATAATTGGCATGGGTTGTTAGTTTTATAGAGGTTAAGACGATTATCTTATGTTAATTGTGCTTTGTACTTTCAGGAGGCTCTGAGAAACATCTTAATTGTATTTGCAAAGTTGAATCCAGGAATTAGATATGTTCAAGGGATGAATGAAATTTTAGCTCCTCTATTCTATGTATTTAGAAGTGATCCTGATGAGGATAATGCGGTAACTTTTCTTTACACCCCCATCCCCCAACCCCCTGATTTTAGCTCTGTATTCCTGGAAATGTGCTCCTATATAAGTTGGTCCTTTTGCCGAATAGCTATTGGGACACATTTTGATTGCTAAAAATTTCGGTAGTGAACCTAATCATAGCTCAATTGGTAATACATTATAACCTCGACCAAAAAAATGTCATCTTGTGCATATATCACAGAAAGAAGCCTTGAAAGAAATGGCGTGTATTAAATGGATTCGTTTTCTTAATGACAATGTTGTTATCAGAAGTTAAATGAGAAATTGTTTTGGGAAGATCATGAGGAATCAATTTGATTACCATGAAGTTCTTTTCCCAACACAAATTACTGTTCCTTCTAAAGGAACAATAATTATGGCCATTTAACTGTTAAATATTATTTTGTTCCAACAATGTTGATATGAGAATCAAATTTTTTTGAATAAATCTACTTCTGACCGCATGAACTTTTTTGTTAGGTTTTTCTTTATTGATTTTTACTGTTCAAATTTCAGGCATCTGCTGAAGCAGACACGTTCTTTTGCTTTGTTGAGTTGTTGAGTGGATTTAGGGATCATTTCTGCCAGCAATTGGATAATAGTGTTGTGGGAATTCGCGCCACAATCACAAAGTTGTCTCAACTTCTGAAGGAGCATGATGAAGAGCTCTGGCGTCACCTTGAGATCACAACCAAGGTAAAATTTAATTTTTGATATAGTTTTGAGCCTTCAATTATTCATTATTTTAATTTTATATATGGCTATTTCAATGCTTATTTCTTTTCGTGATTAATCCTCTAGATCTCCACTATAGATTATCGCAACCACTCTTAGAGCACTTACTTTCTCAGATTACAATTCAGCAGGAGAGTGCATTCAAATTTGAATTCATAAAACTTAAATGCACTAAGATTTTCATAATTGTTAAAGTTAAAGTTTTCTAATCATTTTCCTCAGCTTTGAATATTCTTTGCTTCTTGATTGTTGAACATTTGGGTTCTTTTAACTTTCTTAGAGCCATTCACTCACTTTCTATTTACTTCTCCAAATTTTTATCACCTCTTTAAATTCTTGCTCATTTATTTTGTAGGCTCTAGTTTCCATGTGTACTACTAAAGTCCCCTGCAGGAAGCTTAAAACTATAATAGCTCTTTTTTTTTTTAGTACTCAAAACTATAGTACCTGATACTTTTATTTAGTACATTTACTTATTGTTGCATTTCTCTGTTTCGTCAAATGACAGGTAAATCCCCAGTTTTATGCATTTAGGTGGATCACTCTCCTCTTGACCCAGGAGTTCAATTTTGCAGACAGCCTTCATATATGGGATACAATTTTGAGTGATCCTGAGGGTCCTCTGGTAAGCTTTTCTTCTTTTAGATTTAAGTTATCCCCTCAAGATCCATGTATAAAATACGAACCATTTAGTAAAGAACTGTGGTATAAGAATGACCTGACATCGATACAGGATGAGAAATTTTGGCACATTGAACTATGTGTCCGCTTAGGATAGCTATTTGTCTTTAGATAATCTTCATTCGGTTGATGATTTCCTTGTGGTAGTTACGAAAAAACTATAGCCATTGCTAACACAATGCTTGTGCATATATTATGTAAGAGGTTGCACCTATAAATGCACGAGTGTGTTGCAAACACGTGCACGAAATTGTAGGAGAATTCTTGTAACAACCTAAGCCTACTGCTAGTAGATATTGTTCTCTTTAGGTTTCTCCGCAAGGTTTTTAAAACGCGTCTGTTAGGGAGATGTTTCCACATCTTTATAAAAAATGTTTCGATCTCCTCTCTAAACCGATGTGAGATCTCACAATTTACTATACTCAGTATAACATTTCAATTGTAGCAAATCGAGCTAGACCTGATATTCAATCAATTTGCAGGAAACACTTCTCCGAATATGCTGCTCGATGTTGATTCTCATTAGACGACGCCTACTTGCTGGCGATTTTACAGCCAATCTCAAACTGCTTCAACACTATCCCCCAGCAAACATCAGTCATTTGCTGTACGTTGCGAACAAGTTGCGTAAACAACCTTCGATCTGATCTCTTTTTTTTCTATGCTGTAGTTGCTCTTGCGCTTGGATTTCCTGTTTGATTCTAAAAGATTATAGCGTTGGTCAATCACTGGATGTAAATGTTGGTTGAAAGAATGACTTATAGAGGCAGGATATATAAAAGGATTGTTCATTAGGTGTTGACTTGTAGTAGTTATTCTTGTGGTATTGATCCTTTTGTAGTTGCACAACTTTGGCTCATTGTTTATTCAATTTTCCTCGCTTCAACTTCTATTCACGTTTTCTTCTTTTATTTTGTCCGCTTTGACTTGTTATTTTATGCGTCTACGGAGAGGTTTATATACCCTTGGAATGCTTCGTTCCCCTCTCCAACCGATGTGGAACCCGGCTTCATTCCTCTTTAACCAATGTGAGATCTTCTAACTGTTTTAAAAAGTATATGATGAAGTGAATAAAATCATTCGGAAACTTAAATAGTCTTTAATTTCAATAGGCCATCACTCATGCCTCTGATGTAAGGCACATTAATAACTTATCCATAAAGACCTCAATATATAATTTTATTAAGATCGAACCAAATTGAAATATTTATTAGTAAACTACAAATGAGTTATATATATATTCGAGAACGAAATTCTTTTAATTGTTTTCAGTAAAATAATAAATGTAATAGGTAACTTGGATTTTTTTCGTTCAAACTTGTGAGTTTTTTTTAAAAAAAATTTGTACGCTTAATTAATTTATCATAGAAATCATTGGTATTCTTCCTTTTCAAATTTCAAATTATAGTTAATTTATGATATAATTATTAAAGAGCCGTTTTGGAACAACATCCGACCTTAGCTCAGTTGGTAGAGCGGAGGACTGTAGTAGATCGCAGCTTAATCCTTAGGTCGCTGGTTCGAATCCGGCAGGTCGGATTTTTACTTATTTTTTCTTTTTTATTTTCATTATTTCCCCCTTTTGATCCGTTCTTTTATAACCTTATTACTTCATTTCTTCTGATCAATTCTCGCGTCTTTCTTTCTCTCGCCTTCTTTCCTTCGCCTTCTTTCCTTCGCTTTCTTTTGCTTTCTCCCGCGTCGGAGTTTTGGAGTTTCGGTCGCATCGTATCAATAAATCTGTACTCTCACAAGCTCATTACACGATCCAAACATTTTTCTCCATCAGAGTTATCACTTCAGCGCGCGAATTTTGATCTCCGAAAAGCACTCTCTGGAACTCAGAAATGGTTAGTAACAAACATGTCTCGTCCTTGTTGATCTTTGCTTCGTTTGAAGTTATTTATCTGAGTTGTGATAATCTGCTCCTTCAATAATAAGAAGATCGATGCGAATGAAGTTCATTTGTTTTACTTAGCATTGTCCGATTTAACTCATTTTCTTAATGAAATTGTTGATGTTGATTTACACGGACGCTTTTGGATACGAAATGTCTTTCGGATTTCTAATTGATATCGAGATGGCTTAAGGAGGAAGCAAGCTTTGCTTTGATGACTCCTGATTCTGCGTTTTCCGCTTTGATTGTGTGATTAGTTTAAGTACTTAATTGTTGAATGAGATTGATCTTTTGTTTTTGTTTTCTCTACCTAATCTTCCGTCTGTATGTGTAAACTCAGGCAAATGCTTTACGCTTGTATTTGTCGTGCATTCGGAACACTCTCGAGGCCGCTATGTGCCTTCAGGTATTTCTATCGTTGTCCTGTCGCTGTTATTTGGGTTAAATTTCGTTCGAGTTGTGATTTTTTGGAATTTGATATATTATTTTTGGAATCGAACTTGTTAGGTTCTGTAAAGTTTTCTTCCTACGGACTATTTGCCTTACTAACTTGAAGAATGCGATGTTTAACTGAACTCCTTGCTTGTAATTGCTTCTTGTAAGTGAATATATTTTCATTGCAAGTCCGAACGAAAATACTTCTATACGCATGTAGGTGTTCCGTTCCATCCAAAAATGCACTTGGTGAGAAAATATTCACTGGATAACTGTTTGATGTGTGATAATAGATCAAGAGAGTGCAGGCTTATAGTAATATTACGTCTCTAAATTTATAGTTCTCATTGAAGTAGAATGAATTCGTTGAACTCCAGTGTTGTTTCTTCTTCCGGCTTACATGTTTTCTTTTGAGAAACCTCATAGACAGCCGGGTGACTTGAGTGGCTGAACTTGGATATCCTTTGAAGTCACCAGTATCTGCGTTAAGAGTAGTGAATATTAAGTATTTTCTTTTAGTACATTGAGTTGGGAGTGAATGAAGTGTGCACATGACCAGTTATATTTGTGTACAGTGTTTCTCGCTGGAATTTTTTGAAAATGTTTGTTTCACTATGGATATTTGCTTTCTATCTAATATAACTCTCTCCTTGTCTGATTCACTTTCACATGCGTATGATGTTTGATTTATCATACTTTTTTCTTTTTCAACTGATTACAGAATTTTCCTTGTCAAGAAGTTGAAAGACACAACAAGCCAGAGGTTGAACTAAAGTATGGTTAAGTCTTCTAGTTCATCCTAAAACCTTATTTTGCATTTATTACAGATATATCCTTGTTTTTGAGTCACTGGAGACCTGAATTGCCTAGTTAATGGATTCATTCATGAACCTATTGCGACCATTCTTGGGATCACTTTATGAAAGCTTTTAGTCTTGGGGATGTCTGATAGCCATTTGCTTTTCAACATTCATAGTTATAACATTGTGACTATAATTCTATTATATAGATTCATATTTGGTTACTGCATAGTTTTGTTGTCAGTCGTCGCTCGACTTTAATAGCATGTTCTTGTTGGTTGGCTTTAGCCATGTCTCAGCATGTATTGGTTAGTTGAACATGTCTTGCTGACTTGCATAAATAATACCTGCCATGCTAATTGGCAGGCAGATAAATTATAATGACTTCTCAGAAACACTCATTCTCCAAATCTTATTAGTTTTTCGTTACACCATGCTAATTAAATTTTATGTGGAATGCAACTATGAAAATTTGCTAATTTATGTCGGCTCTTATTTTCTTGATCTTTACCCATTCCAGGACCAGCTCAGAACTTATTCTCAATCCTGTAAGTTTCAGCATTCCACCTTTTACAATTTAGCTGGTTTAGCATTTCGTGCTTGTTAACATGCGCCTGTGGTTGGGGGGGTGGGAATCAACTCCTATGTCTACGTAGCTATTAATGATGATTATGATGAGCATTTTGGAAACATTAAGCACTTATTTTTCATCTTTGATTTTCAGATTAGAACCTATGTCTACGTAGCATTTCGTGCTTCGTTATGCCTCATTATTGAGAACTGTTTCCTGCGATGGAATTTTTCAATGTTCCCCATGGGAACACATTTCATCTGCATCTGCAACATGCCAGCCAGTTTATTTTATTCTAGTTAAACATTTGTCCTTCCTTTGTTGCTTTTAATTGGAAAATCATGTCAATGCAAAAGAATATCCTTGGGAGTTGGGAGTAGTCGGGGAATGGTTTCTTATTATTATTTTTTTTGTTAACTGTGATATGTTGATGGACACCAATGATCTCGCTTCAATATATTGCTCGTGCAGATCTTAATATGTAGAAATGAGTCAGAGAAGTGTTTGATTGAGACATCTATAAACTCTCTCCGGATCAGTCTCAAGGTGATTTTATTCCTTTTATTTTAATTTGATGCATTTGAGGCATTATATGGCCATAAGTCCCTTTCTGCCCATTAGGCTACATCCTTCGATCTTTTCCATTATACCTGAAGAAACACTGCTGATTTTTGCAATTATCATCACAAATTACCACAAACTTGTTCACAATTATTTTATGTGAACTCCTTGTGCACAGGTTAAACAGACAGATGAACTGGAGAACATCCTCACTAAAAAGTTCCTACGATTTCTGTCAATGAGGGCAGAAGCTTTCCAGGTGCTGAGAAGAAAACCTGTACAGGTACTGATAGTGTCTAATCATGAAGTTAACTTTCAGAGTGAATAGTAAAAAAACTTAACCTATAATGTCAAGAAACTATTTGTCTGCTTAACTTTAGTTGCCGCGGTTTCAGGGTGCCTAAAAATAACCTGATTACTTGATCTTGTACATTTCCCTCATGCTTTCTCTGGAGATTTTTTTTTCTCAACAAGCATTAGATTGTTCAAATGTAAGAAATTGAAACTTGTACTCAAATGGTTGTAAGAAATAATTTTGTACTTGAAAATGATCTATCCATATATATCTTGTGGTATTAAACCTTTATAGCCCTGCATTGCTTGTCGTGAAGCTTCAAAGATTCTGAATGAATTATTTACTTTCTTCTTCTCTCTTCTTTTTTCCAATATGAACTACTTCTTACCAAATCGTTTGTTTTTTAACTGCACTCTAGATAATATTTCAGATTGCCATTCTTGTTTGCCAAACATATGTAGTGTCTTTCAGAATTGATCTTTCTGTTTCCTCATGGCTTCATTTTACAGGGATACGACATTAGCTTTCTCATAACAAACTATCATTGTGAGGAGCTGCAGAAGCAAAAGCTCATTGATTTTATTGTACAGTTTATGGAGGCAAGAATTTTAACACTGCCGAAATATCTCCTTGATTTGCTTCTCTTCTTACTACCCAACTTCCTCTAATTTACCCTTTCAAACAAACTTCCCATTTCTGCGGGCGTCGTAATAGCTTAACTAATTTTTGAATAATATATTTTTTTCTTTCCTTTTTTGCAGGATATTGATAAAGAGATTAGTGAACTTAAAATGTCCGTGAACACTCGGGGAAGGCTTGTAGCAACAGAGTTTCTAAAGCAATTCATTTGATGTCTCTCTCTCTCTCTCTCTCTCTCTCATATATATATATATATATATATATATATATATATATATATATATATATATCCTGGTAAACTTCCATTCCCCTGCTTGTTATATTTATATATATCCTTGTACCTCAACTAACAAGATTTGTTTCCATTTAGTTTTTATGCTACTTAATTTTCATACCAACTTTCATGGGGTTTGGATTTGACCCAGAAAAATACAGTGTAGGTGAAATAAGCTATATATATATATATACATATAGTCGTCGTTACAGCAAAATATTGGTAACCTTAAAACTCGACCACAGTTCTCATGACAAATTATTCCTTCCACAATTTCTGATCCTTTTATAATTTCAACCTGTTTGGATTGATTTAACTTTTGGACTTCAAACCCTTGGGCTTTCTACATAGAAAGTGCCATTTTTTTCATCCGAATTTATAATCTCTGTAGAGACGTCTTAAATGTCGAGCTATGTGTTAAATAAATCCAATACCCAAAAGAACGAAAATCAGAGTACATGGTATTTTCCTCTTAAGGTTAAGAGGTAGGTCCAGTGGATAGGTTTGATTATTTATTTATTTGTTTTTATTTGGACGCTTTGATGATTGCAGAGTTGCTCATTGCTCATTGCAAATTGGCTGCCATTGTTGAGAGTTTGGATGGGGATCGTTGCATCCAATAATTATGTTGCTGTAAGTAAGTATTGCCCCTTCTGCATCGTCTGAACTCAAAATCTCTTTGCTTTGCTTAATCCACTTTTCTGATGATAATATACTGTTTTTATTAGGTTTCATTTTTGGCCTTCATAAATTAAACGTACTCTCTAGTTTTTTTTTTTTTTAATTTTTTTTTTATAAATATACTATTTTAAAAGAAATTTAAAATTTAAAATAATATATTATTATAAGCCTTGATAAAGTCTTTTAAAATGTAATCAACATAATATTTGTTGGATTTCTCTTAACTTAATTTTGGAATTAGGTCATAAATGGAAAGATGAACTAGGGATGAGTTACTGAAAATTTTCTAGTTTTGATATATTTTTATTTAGTCACATTACTGTTGATTTATAGTATTAAAGAATAATAAAACGTCAAATATCATTAAAAAGAAAATATTCTCATTATTAATTTAGTTAATTGTTTTTTATAATTGATTTCATACATATAAATGTTTGCTTATTTTTTTATTAACATATAATACAAACATTAATGGAAGAAACTTTGCAAACACCCACATCCCATAACTAAAGAAAAAAGGTTTTCCGTGGATTGAAGATTCCTCGTCTACCAGATAGAGCCACTGGTAATGGAAGGAACTTTGCAAATGCCAGCCGACGTGTTAAATGGTATATCTTTAAAACATGCCACCCCCTCTGTGTTGATAGCCAAATCCACTTGCAGCGTCTCCCATACCTTTTTCTTCGGGTTTAGTACGTCCTCGGGCTCGCCTTCGAATCCTGGGAATTTTATTCTTTCTCCGACATTGGCGTCTTTGGGTGGCTCGACTAATTCAACCTAAAAAAGTGCACCATCATAATCACAAGTTCTTTTTACACTCCTGTTTGGTTAAAATCACGATTGAAAATATTCAATGATGAAATATGTTTTTTTTTTTCATCTAAAAATTATAACTTCAAATCCCCAATTTTTATTCAAAATTTTAATTGATTTCTACATTAATGAATAGTTTTGAAGTATTTATGAATGATCTAGGAATATTGCAACTTTTTTGAAATGATACGAGTACAAGTTTCAAATTTCCAATTTCCAATTTTCACTTAGGATTTTAATGAATTCCTACTTTAGTGGGCAACTTTCAAATTTCCAATTTTCATTTAGGATTTTAATGAATTTCTACTAAAATATTTATGAATGTGCATTCCTTTTTTTTTTTTTTTTTTTTTTAAAGGATATGAGTATGTTTAAAACAATAGGTGATAGTTTAGGAGTATTTTTAGTTGGAAAAGCTTGCAAAGAAGGACTAACCTTGGTGTGGTCGCTATTGGAAGCAGCCAGAACCATGGCTTGCGATTTAATTCCCCTCATGGAAGCCGGCTTCAAGTTGCAAAGAACACAGACCTTCCGGTTCTATACCAGCAGAAAATGATCATTAATTATATTATTCATTACAACAATGTAAGTAAAGAAGAGAACAAGGGAAACCTGCATCTCTTGAAGAGGTATGTAGTTGACCAGTCCACTGACAACGGTTCGAGGCTGCGCTTCTCCCACATCGATTTCTTCCACATATAGGGAATCAGCATCAGGATGCTTCTGAGCTTTAGTAATTAATCCTACTCGTATATCCAGTCTTGTTATCGTAATTCCTGCTTCCACCGCACCACCACCAGCAGCAGCTTTCGGTTTGCGGCCTGTGGAGGATTTTGCCTGTTGCTTTTTTTCACTGCCTTCAACAACAAACAAACCATTTAGAAAAAAAAAAACATTTGCTAGAAAAACATCTGTCTAAACTGGTCTATATACTTGAACATATTTGAATCCCCGTTATTGAATATTTAAAAAAAAAAATTAGCAGCAAATAATGACTAAAATGGAATCAAAGTAGAAGTAAACATAAAAATATTAGCTTGAAAAGGAGCTTTTTAAGACCGGGAAGAATTTACGTCAGTCATAAAATCTACAACGGGATTCGGGAAGTAAAAGAAGAAAAATGGCGAAACTTTAACCAACCAACCTGAAACGTTAGTTTTTTTTAGGTGAGCAGCAAGCTTTTCTGCTTCTGCTTTAACAATGCGTTGAGCCTGACTTCCGGCAAACTTGTCTCTGTATAGTTCTACTTCTTCGTCTTTCTGGAGAAAGAGAGTTGTAATTGTCACCAAGGTGGTTCGTTACCCACAATCACCATAATAATCCTGGATCCTCAATTTATATCGACACCACCAACAACAAATTATTAAACACAACGAGGCATACATACCAATTCTTTGAATAAAGGTTGTGGTGTGCCAATCTTATGACCAGAAGGTAGAGTCTTCCAAGGTTGCTTTGCTCTCTCGATGTCTCCTTTCTCTTCACAAAGCGAAATACGCCGTTCCAGAGGTAAATCCAGCTGCCTAAACACCTTCAAATGTATATGGGTAATGGTTAAAAAGCATAATTTTCTGGAAGTATATACACACAAAATTATATAGAAAAAGAGGATTAAAAACGAGATATTCATTGTCAAATACCTACCCATATATCATAAGTTGTCTAAAAAAAAGACATAACATGTGGCATATATATATCTATTAAGAACGAGATATTCATTTCCCAATCGATATACATCATAAGTTTACGTTGTCTAAGCAAAAAAACATAAAATGTAATGTGTGTGTATATATATATATATGTATAGATTAAAAACGAGATACTTATTTCTAAATAGACATATTATGGATTAAAAATGTGATATATATAATAAAAACGAGATATTCATTTCGAAATGCCTACAAACATATATGTGGATTAAGTCCCACATTGACTAATTTAGGAAATGATAATGAATCTATAGGTAAGAAATATATCTCCATCCGTATGAAATCTTTTGGAGAAACTAAAAGCAAAGTCATGAAGTTGATGCTAAAAATGGACAATATCATATCTATGTGATATCTATGTGATTCTTAATGATATATTATAAGCTATTTATAAGCTATTGTTGTCTAAGAAAAAACCTGAGATGTGATAATTAAACAATAAGTTTCCTTCCAAAAGGTAGAGATTTTTTAACAATAGTTGTTCGTAAAACAGTTATTTGAATTAGGATTGATAATGGACGCCATAATCAATCAACTGTTTAAAGAATGGTCTGAAAATCAACACAGCCCATATATTAACGCTCAACTGCTAATACAAATGTGGAGAATGTGTCGTCAGAATATTTACCTCATCTGAGAAAGAAGGCATGAAAGGTTCTAATAAACATGCCAGAAGATGCACAAGTCCAGTTGAAGTTCTCATAACAATATTGCACGAAGGTTTGTCCGCCTTGTAAAGATTCCAGAACTGGGATGTCTGGCATGGAAAACATGATAAATAGCTAGATTCCAAAGAAATTTTAAATTTTAAAACAATAATGAACATGATACAAACAAGATTCAAATGAGCCAATGACTATGTTTACTTGCAAATATGTATTTCCCTCGTTTGAAATAGCCATTGCAGCTTTTAGACCTTGTTTTAGTTTAACCTGTAAAAAATATTCCATAGAACAATTTCATTTCAATAACCGACAAAATCAAAGAGGAAGCGGTCAATATTTTAATATCACAAATTATCCTGTTCCTATAACAAAAAGGCTAATCAAACACAGATCAATTTTTTTTAAAGTACCTTCTCCATTGATTCCACATATTGGTCTACGTATTTACCAACTTTTTCAGCCAAAACCAATGTTAATCCATGAGAGTCCGCGTTAGGTGCATCAGGAATTATGGAACCATAACCCTGCCCTGTGAATCGAGGATTCAAATATGTTTTAACCGTAGGAAACTGCATTAGCTCTTGACACAAAAACATAATTAAGTTTTGGGACATTTCATTGCCGTTTTATAGGAATTAATATAGTGCTCGGAAATATTTCATAGACCTTTATAGCAGTAAAGATGGTGCCCACTTGAAATGATCGATTCTTTAGAATAAGAAGCACAAATTCTCGATTGGGCAACTGTTTCTAACCTTATTAGCTATTATTTATTAAAACTCATTTCCACCTTGCAGTTGCAGTTATATACCTTAAAGTTTCACTTGAAGAAAATTTCGGTTCTGAAGCAGAAGTTACAAGAAAAAACAGAAGTACCAACCTAAAGGTTTGGCAACGAAGCTCAAAACTCGATGAATGAAGTTGCCCAAATTGTTCAACAACTCGCCATTGAGTTTTGCTTGTAAATCAGCCCATGTAAATAATGTATCTGAAACCTAATTTTACAGATTTTAAAATTTTAAATATATGTAAGCTATGAGCAGAGCAGAGAATACCAGAGGCAATAAAGTGGAAAGTTTACCTCAGGCCTATTGGCTAATAAGTAATATCTCCATACTTCTGCAGAAATATTTGTATCTTTTGCATCATTACCAAAAACTCCAATGCCCTTACTCTTAGAAAATTTTCCTGTACAAGTAATCCAGAATAAATTTTGGTAGTGAGATATTTCAAAACGGTGTATACAAATTATTCATCCCTACAGATGAATTATGGGTAAAAGACCATGTACTGACTAAATCATTCACTGTTACCTGCTTCATAGTTTAAGTATTCAGTAACACTAATGGTTTTCATCAAGGTCCAGTCTTCTCCAGTTCCGAGCAGTGTAGAAGGAAACATAACCTGAATCATAATAGCAGAGAACTAAATAAATATAAATTCCAATTTAGATGTGAGACAGATTTATTACAACGGTCATGCTAAATTAGAAGTCTGAAGAGCTTCATCAGAAGGTCATAACAGAAACTGGAACTTCCGGTCTTTTTATTTTATTTTATTTATTTATTTATTTATTATTATTATTATTATTATTATTATTTTTTTTTGTAAGAAACAAGGAACTTCCAGTTCCTGACTTCGACTGATCGAGAAAGGGGTATTTTACAACTAATAAACCTCACTTTGAAGAGATTAACCAATTTATTGCACTACTTGATATAGAGAGTTACTTAATGCATATAAATTACATTTTCAATTTTAAGAAATAGAAAACTATTTTCAGATAAAATAACACGTTTGTCCTCTATTCCCAGAAGTTAGGATGAAAATGGCGTTTGTAAATCATTTGAAAAAAAGAAAAAAGAAAAAAACAGATTTTCTTCAGACAATAAGGAAAGTTTAATGGTAAGGATACATACAGTGTGGAAAGGAACATTATCCTTGCCCATGAATTGAAAAAGCTCCACATTCTCTGGATTCTTCCACCATTTCTCCCATTCATTTGTGTAGCATGATGTAATGGAGACATATCCTATTGGGGCATCAAACCAAACATAGAAGACCTAAAAAAATTGAAGTCAAAATTAACAAAAATTTATCATAGAAAATTGTCTAGCTATTAAAATAAAAAAGATCGAAAAAGAAAAAAACGAACCTTGTCCCTGAACCTTTCAAGTGGAACGGGAACCCCCCACTTTAGATCTCTTGTAATACACCGGGGTTTCAACCCTTCCTTAAGCCAAGCTTGTGTTGCTTGAATAGCATTTTGGCTCCAAGATCCAGCCACAGACATCTTGTTGATATATTCTTCAAGTTTATCTCTCAGCAAAGGAAGTTCAAGAAACATGTGGTTTGTGTCACGGATACGTGGGGTTGTTTGACAGACCTATTTTCCAAATATTAACACTCGGTTACTATCTTCGGGGCAAAATGAAACAAACTGATCATTTTATTTGATTTATTATTATTTTCTTAATAATAAACCTGGAAAAAAGTACCTGAAATACTATTGTTATTTGGAAACTTGCTTAATTACCTCTACTCATATAACACTGGTTTTCTAGAGCTGTCATTTGGAAACTGTGGGATGAATGAAATGCTAGGATCTTCCAAGGGATATAAAGACCCTCAGAAGAAGTGATGGATTCATCTCTCTCTCTCTCTCTCTCTCTCTCTCTCTCTCTCTGTTTGAAAAAAGTTAAAATTGGTACCCACAGATGGTATCTAACACAAATTCATTCAAGCAAAGTTCATGACTCTTGACCATGCAAATGTGTTACTTAAACATAAACCACGCTTCAAACTGCCAACAATAGATTATGAACTATCTTTTCCTTGTTTGCTTCAAGGTGTGAATTCGTCCTCCAATAAGGAAGAGAGACTTTGACCCCTAGACTCTTGTGACTTCGTGCAAAACAGATTTCAATAGCTTTTCCAAACTTCCTTTTCAATAATAGATTCTTCCTTATAATAACTGGATGAACGGAGTTGCAGATATGAAAACTCAACAGGATTTCTCTCCAATAATTATTAATAATAAAAAAATTAAAAAAGAGAAAAAGAGAGAGAAGAGGCCGCCAAGGGACCTCTTTGCTGTGTGTGTGAAAAGGAACATGCCAAAAGAAGGGAAAAAAAACTCTTCCAATTGGAACGTGTTTTCCCAACTTCCGAGGAAACTTTATGCAGTTCCTTGCACTTAATGAAGGTTTTGTAATACAAAAAAATGTTTCTCAATCGCAGCAAATCCATGAAGTACCTTGCACCTGGGATCTTTCAACTCCGTTGGATTAAGAAGTTTCCCGCACTTTTCACATTGATCACCACGTGCAGAGTCATACTCACAACCTGGAGTAGGACAGATGCCTTCAACGAGCCGATCGGCTAAAAATCTCTCACAAGTATCACAGTACAGCTGAATTATGAGTAAAAAAATAAATAAATATCGTGCATGAAATCAATGAACAGACGTAGAAGAACTCAAACACATGCAACCAAAAGTAACCAGGAGAAGAATATAATACTCAAGTGATAAATAAGTCTACCTGTAGCATCGTGTTCTCAGAAAGCCAATTGTTCTCCAATAGTTTTCCAAATATTTCTTGACAAACTTCAGTCTGCTGTGATGATGATGTGCGACCAAATTCATCAAAACTAATACCAAACCAATCGTAAACTTCTTTGTGAATTTTGTGGTACCTGACAGTGCAGAAATAGTTAAGTAAAGGTCCAAATCTTTCCCCAGATTTAGGTGATCTCTAAGCAGGAAGTGAAAACTGAGATTCAAGGGAGGAAGAGAGAGATTGCAGGTCACAAAATCTATAACTTCATTCTGAACAGTCGATTAAGTGTTCAAGTACTTATAAATCGGCCAAGTTAAACCATTACGGAAGTAAGGACGAGATCGTCTTCAAAAATGCTCCACGAAATTACTTGCATGTGAAAATCAGAACCGTTCAAAACAATTTGAATATGAAAAAAATGTCATGAAGTGAATATGACAGAGTATCCAAGTCCAGAAGACAGTACTAAAAAGCCTGAGATCCAGATCTCTCTCTGATTTACAAAACTATGCTCGTGGAGGATAGAAGCGAACTTGAAAGTGTAACATTAAGGCGAGTACAAATTATATACAAAACAAACTATAGAAAGCCGAGCGAACTATTTTCCAGAATCATAGAAAAAGGTAGTAGCCACGACGAACAAAAACCTGAGAGAAAACCTTACTTGTCACAAATCTCTTTAGGAGAACATTTCTCTTCCATTGCTTTTGTCTCCGTCGCCGTTCCATACTCATCGGTTCCGCATATGTAAATAGCGTTATAACCTCTAAGACGACAGTACCGAGCAAAAACATCAGCACTCAACACACCTGCATACAAATAAAATCAATCCAGCCGCTTGTGGAAGTATAACAGGATATTGAAATCAAATATAAAACAAAACATTTCATCCAGCCTTCCAAAAATCATAGCCGCATCGCAAAAAGCGCGCGCATTAGAAGTAAAACAGAGTAGGCGGCATAACTCCTCAAATCTCTATCATTCAATTCTCAGAACCCGAACAACAACCAATTCAAACACAAGAGCACAGAAACGCAAAGAAACAACACAGTCCTCAATCAATCAAACACACGGAAACATATGTACACAAAAAGCGCGCGCAGTAGAAGTAAAACTGAGAAGGCGGTATAACTTCTTAAATCTCCATCATTCAATTCTCGGAAACCGAACAGCAACCAATTCAAACACAAGAGCACAGAAACGCAAAGAAATAACACAGTCCTCAATCAATCAAAACACGGAAACATATATACACAAAAAACGCGCGCATTAGAAGTAAAACTGAGAAGGCGGCATAACTCCTCAAATCTCCATCACTCAATTCTCAGAAACCGAACAGCAACCAACTCAAACACAAGAGCACAGAAACGCAAAGAAATAACACAGTCCTCAATCAATCAAACACACGGAAACATATATACACATGTGATAAAGAACATTACAGCCAATGATGTTGCCGAGGTGAGGAACGTTATTGACGTATGGAAGAGCGCTGGTAATGAGTATATTCCTCTTTCCTGGAATCGGAAGCTTTGTGGCCTTGGTTCCGCCGCCACCGGCGTCGCCTAAGACGTCCGCCATCTCTATCAATCCGCCGGAAACTCAAAGGTTCCTCCTACAACAACAAACTCTTCCTCGATCAGATACCTTCACCGGAGAGAATCGAGATGATGAAGAGCAGAGAATTTTGGAGCACTGCAACTTGGAAACGTTGCAAGTCTCAGTGTTGAGGAATTATTTGTTTTTCTTTTTCCTTCTGAGAGTTTTCTGATTGGGTAAAACGCACATTTCAGGTAAACAAGCTTTTTATATGGAGCGTCTGCCCCTGGTTTCCTCTGATTGGGTGAAACTTACCTTTCAGAGTAGGAAAGCATGAGAATTAGAAAATTCTTTTTATTTTCTTTTTTTTTAAAAAAACAAAATAATGGCTCCTTTATTGACAAACTTTTCTTTTGGAAGATCAATTGTGAATTGCCTAGTAGAAGGTTCCTTGGGTGCATTTTGTTTTCTTACATCATACTATTTCTCACTCTATAACATCACACCTCTCGCTCATCCATTCCGCTCATGCAGGCGTAACGCCCTTTTCCATTATCATCTACCGTCCTTTCTTTCCTCCTAGCTATTCACGCATGAAAATCGTCGTATGTATGCTCGACTTTGGTTGTCGGTGCTATAGGTAGGAGTACATTATGGTAGGATCAATCACGGGGGCACATCAACCCTCCTTCAAGAAACATTGTGCTATGCCCCGGTCCCTGTAGATGGAACGACATGCCTAGTGGTTTCTAGGTTGCAGCACGTCTAGTTGTCAACCCTCCTCATTTGTTATATTATATATAATAAATGAGATAAATTTTCATGTGGGGAACTTGATTCGAGCAAATTTCGTTGGGAATTCTTGTCCATACCAATAAAAATAAATGAGAATTTTCGCCCGATGGAGAATGAATTAGAGTCTTCTCTATCTCCGCCTCGTAGATCTCTTTGAAGCTCCGGTGAACGGCGGCCGTAACTATAAAGGTCTTAAGGTAGCGAAATTCCTTGTCGGGTAAGTTCCGACCCGCACGAAAGGCGTAACGATCTGGGCACTGTCTCGAAGAGAGGCTCGGTGAAATAGACATGTCTGTGAAGATGTAGACTAACTACACCTGGACAGAAAGACCCTACGAAACTCCACTGTTCCCTAGGATTGGCTTTAGGCCTTTCCTCCGGTGAACGGCGGTCGTAACTATAACAGTCCTAAGGTAGCAATCTAGGCACTGTCTCGGAAAGAGGGTCAGTGAAATAGATATGTCTGTGAAGATGCGGACTACCTGCACCTAGACAGAAAGACCTTATGAAGCTCCACTGTTCCCTAGGATTGACTTTGGGCTTTTCCGCAGCTTAGGTGGAGGGCGAAGAAGGCCCCCTTCCGAGGGCCCGAGCCATCAATGAGATACTTACCAACAAAAAGAAAATATAACCTAAAAAGGATCGTGAGAATAAAATAAAATATTTTAATTGTGGTTTCGAATATAATTATTTAACATAGTTGAAATAAAATACCATTCCCATTCCAAAGATTCCACCAACTCACCCTTAAATTGAGCCTTTTTATAAACACTTTTAACCATATGAACCCTAATTTTCTCAAAATATTCCTCCATTTGTTCTTGCAAGTTGAGAAGAATACATTCCATGTCAACATCAAAGAATAGTAATTTTTACCTTCCTTTAGCCCAGTATGGGACAACCATTCCACTAGGCTTCCCCGCCATGTTGATGAGCACCTCAACTCCGCTCACACCTCGGGTGAGCTCTCCGCTCCCCACGAAAGAATTGAGAAAGCCAACACAAAAATTCAATTATGACTTCGTAGAGCTGGTATACCACAGCAAACAACCAAATGGAGGTGCTCATATGACTTCTCAAAAATCCTGTCATCTTGATGTGACGTTTTCAGAAGCCGAAGTGTAAAGCCCGACAACCTATCCGTGATTAGGAAGGCATGCAAACCGAGCTCTTCTTCGAATCCGACATTATCTCTTTACTTTTTAACAAATTTACAAAGAATATTAGGAGACAAAATATGTGAAGGTCAAAATTATTTAGGATATATAAATCTATTCTCTTTTTAAATTCAGAGTCCAATAATAGCAAGTTCATAGGCTGAACAGCTATTATAACACCATTATACGAAGAAAAGTGGTTTCAAAGGCCACTAGTTCTTTGCTGCAGACGATGAAACTTGCTTTATACCTCTTGCAATCTCTTCAGCATTTGCATCCCAATTAACAAATGTCACTAATGGACTCTCACCTGGAACAATGTCATCTCTTGCATAGCTTCCCGTCGTCCTCAGCAGCTCTTCCGACCCCTTGTTCGATGTTCCTTTCATGATTATCGTCTTGTGAGTCCCTGATATCATCTCCTCGTGGTCGGTGTCCCCAACCTCCCCAAGGAATACGTACATATTCGAAAGGTTCAATCTCCATCGCACGAACAAGTACCTACAACCAATGTGAAAACAATAGGGTCAAGACGACATAGTCTAACGAGCCAAAAATGACCCAACAACAAAGTGAATGAAAAGGTACCTACGACAAATGTGAAAACTACGGTGTTGAGATGTATAATATCATTGTATGTAATAGTCTAACGAGCGAAAAATGACCCAAAAAAAGAGTGAACGGTAGGTTCCATTGCACGAGAAGGTACCTTCGGTCTCGTATGTAATAGTCTAATGAACCAAACAATGACCCAACAAAAGAGTGAACGGTGGGTTTCATCGCATGAGAAGGTACCTACACGGTCATATGTAATAGTCTAATGAGCCAAAAAATGACCTAACAAAAGAGTGAACGGTAGATTCCATCGCATGAGAAGGTACCTACACGGTCATATGTAATAGTCTAATGAGCCAAAAAATGACCTAACAAAAGAGTGAACGGTAGATTCCATCGCACGAGAAGGTACCTATGGTCATATGTAATAGTCTAATGAGTCAAAAAATGAACAAAGAGTGAATGGTAGGTTCTATCGCACGAGAAGGTACCGACGATCGTATGTAATAGTCTAATGAGCCAAAAAATGACCCAACAAAAGAATGAATGGTAGGTTCCATCGCACGAGAAGGTACCTACGGTCGTATGTAATAGTCTAAGAGCCAAAAATGATCCAATAAAAGAGTGAATGGATGTATTGTTTCGAGCAAACACGAAATAGACGGTGTCAAACCTGAGAGCTTGAGCTCTTGATGCAAGCAAAGGAATGATTTGCATTCGAGTCAAGCTCCGACAATACATTGGATGGCACCGAAGACCGCGCAACCGAAGCTTCTGCCTCAAATCGTCGACTTTCATGGCCTGAAAAGAAGAAAATATGAGGGTGTGATGTTGAAGAAAAAACTGTCGAAGGCTAATTCTTGTAGGTGTTCGTTTACCTTACTCGTATTCTTTACTAAGTAGGAGATGCAATGAGAATTACTCGATTTCGTATCCTCGAGAATCGTTGTATCGAATTTGTTGGAATCTTCTTGAGATGCATTCACCAACTTAAGAATGGTTTTCTTCAAACCGTCGCATCCCCAACGATAATCAATATGCGACGCGTAATCTGGATCGGGTTGCAGTTTGCCATCTTCTGAACCGGGGTAGTAAACCTCACTTCCGCTACTGCAGATTAAGGCATCAAACTCATTGAGTTGTATTTTTCCAGACCTTAAGAATTCGGCAGTCTCGGCCAATGGCATTGCGGTCGATAGAGCAAAGCCCGAAACACGTGCAACTTGAGTGTCGAGACGACCAGCTTTAATAATCTCCTGCAACATCTTGATCATCTTCTTTTCTGGATCCCCATTGCTGTCATAGCAGTCAAGTGCTATAACAATCAACCTACGTCGTCGTCTCAAAATCGGATACTTTCCCGTCATATTCTCCAGCATTTTATTCCCTTTTTCGGTCTCGTTCGACTCAGTCCCCGACCTCTTGATCTTGCTCAAAACTCGCTCTACTTGGTCCTGCAAATTAGGATCATCAGCGGATGCAGCTATGTCGCTTGATGCATTCAATGACGTTTTTTCTCCATCGACCGAAAGTCTAAGCGACATATCTTGGACGTCCTTCAGTGAATCATTGAACGATTCCTCTGTCGGTATTTCGTCCCCCGGGGTGTCGGTTTGCCACTGTGGATGCCTCACCCGACACGCTGCAACTCGAGTCAAGTACGTGCGGCAATGAGCCGGCCACGAGAACAGATGTATGTTCTTCAAACCATTTTTCCTACACTCATTCCATAAGTTCTTCTCTGATAGCAATTTCAGCAAAGCATCAGCAATTGCTTGCTGATCATGAGGATCAACAAGCAGACCATTGTTTAAGGCCTAAAATCACAAAAACAAGTTAATCAGATGGTGACAAGTTCGTGACGTTTCCGATCGGGTTTTCCTTACTTGATGAATGTCGACCGGTCCGCCATTTTTGGTCGCCACCATTGGGAGTCCATGTGCAGCCGCCTACAATAACTCAGAGGCATAAATCCAACAGGACTAATCACATGACAGATCCAATGAAAAACCAACCTCGATCAACGTAAGCCCGAACGGTTCGACCAACGCTGGATTAATGAAAACACCCTAGCATTGTTTCATAAGACAAGTTGTTAACGTTACAGAACGGCATGGTATGGTAACGTGAAGCTCGAACAAACCTTTGTTTTTGCTGCAAGTCGATATATGTCAGGAACATCAGATTGCTTATGATGCTTCGGGTAAGCGACTTGACCGTAAAGATCATACTTATCGATAAACTTTATAACTGTTGTGAGCACGCTAGCGCTACTGCCCGACATCTCATCGATATCGTCCCTATTCCCCATGATGAGCGTCTACAGAGGAAAAAAAACATGATCATACAGTTCATAACTTGAACATATTATTGAAAAATCTTACTAGATTAGCAAGTTCTCTCAATGGACGACACTCGCCGAAGGCTTTCAAGAGAGTGGTTATATTCTTCTTCGGGTCGGGCCTCGACAACGCCAAGATCATAGGTTTATGGGGGTTCGTAAGAAAACGCATCACCTATTATACGAACGATTATATAAGTTTAGAGGAGAAATAATAACTAATAACGTGGTGTAAGATAGGGTGATTGGACACACTTACATCAGACCATATCGTCGGGATCGCTCTTGGAGAGGACCCTTCACTCGTAAGTGTCAAATCGCCATCGACATCGGGCGTGTCTTCGGGAACCAAAACATTGCTGAAATCCATGCCAGGAGGAATGACCTGCCAAAAACTTTGG